GGTAAACATTAAAGACCAAATATAAGACTTATATATAATTATAAAGACCAATTATAAGACTTAATAAGGTCAAACTGTTTACCTCTTATATGTGAAAATATTAAGAAGGTCATCATTACTTGGGTAGTTTGAAAGAAAAACTTGGGCTGAGATGAGTATGTTGGGTTGATTCTAAAAAATAAAACTGGGTAGGGAGAGGTAAAAAGGAGTAATTATCTCATACAAATGAGGCCTGAAAGGAAGAACTGCTATGGAAGAAGCAAGTGGGAGTGGGGGGCTGGTAGGCCTGGAACTTTAGTCTCATAGGAATTAAGTTAAAGAGGCAACAACATATACGTCTAGAAGGGTATAAAAGTCTTCTAAGTTTATAAGGATAGGATAATGGAGGGATTTATAAAAGGATGTTTAGATTAAGAATTAGGAGGGTGGGGGAGAGGATAATGGAGGGACTCTTAAAAGGGTGGGTAGATTAAGGAATGGGAGGGTAAAGTAGTAGTTAGAAGTAAATTAAATGAGGAAGAAGGGATAGGGTAAATTGGGTGAGGATAAATAGGAAAAACAGGATGGAGGGAAATACACAACTAGTAATTATAGCTTTGAAGGTGAATGGGATGAATTTCCTCATAAAAGAAACAGATGGCAGAATGGATTAAAAATAAAATCCAAGGATATGTTGATTACAAGAAATATAATTAAAAATGAGAGCTCCATATAGAGTTAAAATAAAGAGCAGGAGTATTACTATGCTTCAGCTGATGTGAAAAAAAAAAACAGGTGTAGCAATTACGATTTCAGACAAAGTTAAAACTGAAATAGATTTAATTAAAGAGATAAACAGAGAAACTACACTATGTGTCACCAATATTATTCAATATTGTTTTAGAAATGCTATCAATAGCAATAAGAGAAGAAAAAGAAATTGAAGGAATCAGAATGGGAAATGAGGTAATAAACTATTTCTTTTTGCAGACAGCATGGGAAAATCCTAAAGATTCAACTAAAAAGTTAGTTGAAACAATTCATAACTTTAGCAAAGCAGCAGGATGGAAAATGAGTCATCAGCATTTTTGTATATCACCAACAAAACCATACAAAAAGAGAAAGAGATGCCCCATTTAAAATAATTGTAGACAGTATAAGATCCTGAGAGTATATCTGCCAAAACAGACCCAGAATCTATATGAACATAATTATACCAATCAAGTCAGATTTAAATAATTGGAGAAATATTAATGTGTGTGTGTGTGTGTGTGTGTATTCCTGTTTAATTATAGCCTTCTCTAGGTGAGGTAGGGAAAGGAAGAAAAAAATAAAAAGAAGTACACAGCAGAGAACAAAACAAAAGTTAGGAGGAAGCACAGAAAAGCTGGGTAGCACTGAAAACAATGTGTAGTATTCATTACAGTTTTAAAAAAAATAAACAGTCTGAAATGAAAATTCATGACTTTGTATTGAATCCTCTATGTTCTGCTGTATACATGGAAATGTTCTCTTTTTTTCCTTTTTCTCGTTTTACATTTAAGTTTAAAATAAATGAAAATTAAAGGGAAAAAAAAGTTAGCTCCCCTAGTCCTCAGTGCAGGGCTCTTCTCATCAAACTACCTCATCAGTGATCAATGTCTCCTGCCTATGTGCCAAGCACTATGTGAAGCACTGAGAACACAAACACATGTGGAAAGAAAGGCAACCCCTGCCCTCAAAGGACTTACGTTCCCACAAATAATGCAGATAGAATTCTGAAAAAATGCTGAAAATATTTATTCCTACTTAAACCATACTAGACGACTGGGGCATTCCTATTTTCATGGAATACCAGGAAATGTGATGCATAAAACACTTCCTGAATTTAACAGGAAATTCTTTAACAAGCATTTATAAGCACTTAGTGCAAGGCATATCATAGGCCCCTGACAAGGTGCCTGAAGGGCCCTTATGAGTTTTGGGGAGCCCTTTCAGAGAAAGAAATAGAAAGTCTAGAAATAGGGATCTGCTCTAGACCAGTGGCCTGTCATCCAAAATTGTATCCAGAAGTAGAGGCTGTCATTGATGGGGCTGGAACTAGTGTGGGCTTCCTTCTGCAGATACTGTAGGCCTTGAGATTTCATCATATTCTCATGTGGGCTTCCGTTCTGCTTCTTCCCATTCCATTCACTTAGAGGTGGTAGGGGATGGTAGAAGGAGTTTGGCTCCTGGGGTCAGTCAGAAGAGAAGGCTTCAAAGACTTCTCGCCTACCATTTGTGCTCCCCTGGGCCAATCACATGCCCTTCAGTTTCAGCACTTGTGAAATGAAGATAAATATTACTCACATCACCTAGCTCACTGGGTTGTTGGGAAGGAGCTATGTAAGCCCTAATATGCTATAAATTTATTGGCTTTACAACTCTTTGTGGTGGCAAAGAACTGGAAATTGGGAGGATGCCCATCAACTGGGGAATAGCTGAACAACTTGTGGTATATGAATGAATGGAATGGAATACTATTGTGTATAAGAAATGATGAGCAGGCAGACTTCAGAAAAACCTGGAAAGACTTGTATGGACTGATGCTGAGTGAAGTGAGCAGAACCAGGAGAATGTTGTACACAGTAACAGTCACATTGCGCAATGACTAATTTTGATAATAGACTTAGCCCTTCTCAGCAATGCAAGGATCTAAGACATCTCCAAAGGAGTCATGATGGAAAATGCTACCCACGTCCAAAGAAAGAACTATGGAGTTTGAATGCAGATAGAAGCATACTATTTGCTTTTTTTTCCTTCTATTTTGTTTTGTTTCCTCTTTCTGGTGGGTTCCTCCTACTGGTTCTAATTCTTCCTTACAACATGACTAATGTGAAAATATGTTTAAAGGAATATATATATGTATAGCCCATATCAGATTGCGTGCAGTCTTGGGGAGGGAGGTGGGAAGGAAGGGGGAGAAAAATTTAAAACTCAAAAGCTTACGGAAATGATTGTCGATAAATAAAAATAAATTAATTAATTTAAAAAACTCTAGAATTCCATGAAAAAAATTATTTCTATTTTTCTTCTAAAAATTTATCCTTTGGGGCATAACTCTTGATTTCATATATTTTTGTCAGATCCCTATGTATTCTGAATATCATACTTTTATCAGATATTTTTAATGCAAAGATTTGAAGCATGTGACAATTTCTCGTTCTAGTTTTGTGCGCAAAACCTTTTTAATTTTATGTACTCCAAATTGTTTTCTTTATCATTTATGAACACCTCTTTCCTTTATTTAGTTCAGAATTCTCCCTACAGCTCATAGTTATGAAATGTGTCTAATTTTTTTGTGCTATAATCTTTTATATTTATGTTTAGGAGATACATGGTCATGGTAGTCATGACAAGACACTCCATCTCTGTTATCATGGAGGATGCCATCTAATAGGGAGATCAAACACCAAAGTAGATAACTTGAACACACCCCAGTACTTAGTAAATACAATAGAGAGGAATATCCATCTGACTTCTTCTCTCCAGTCATTCAAACACCACCCTAATTCAGACCCTCATTATTTCTCATCTAGACTAGGGTGATATTCCACTAATTAGTCTCATGGCCTCCAGTGTCTTCTCTTGTCAATCCATCCTCAACCAAGTAGCTAAAGATATTCCTAAATATCATCTGGCTTCATCACTCCTCTGCTCAAAAAGCCCAAGTAGCTCCCTATCGCCTCCAGAATCAAATACAGACTACGTGTTTTATTTATGGCCCTTCAAAATCTGGCTCCAGCTGATTTGTGCAGACATTGCTCTCCTTTGTGCCCTCTCTGTTACAGCTCTTTGTTGCATCTGTCCGTGACATGCCTTTGCCCTGGCTGTCTCCATTGCTTCCTCACCTCTCTGTCTCTTAGAATCCTTGGCTTCCTTAAAGATTTAGCTTAAATACAGCCTCCTGGCTGAGGCTGTATTTTTCTAATTGCTCCCCCCCCCAACACACATTACATCATATTTAATTTTACATTCACTTATTTGTGTATGTTTTGTTTCTCCCCATAGAAAGCAAATTCCCTGAGAGTACAGACTTGCAATTTTATCTTTGTACTTCTAATGCCTAGCACATGTTTGTTGCATAGTGTTTGATAAATGGGCAGCTAGGTGGCACAGAGTACTTGACCTGAAATCAGAAAGACTCATCTTCCTAAATTCAAATCTGGTCTCAGACACTAGCTGTGTGACCCTGGGCAAGTCACTTTACCCTGATTGCCTCAGCAGAAAAAAAAAATCAAGAGGTTAACATAACTAGGAACTCCAGCTCTTGGAGCATTCCAGGAACAGGAATCATCCTGAACAAAGGCATTATGTCTTTATACTTTTACCAAAATACCCGTTGGAACGTGGGGGTGAGTGTGGTCCAACCTGGACCCGAGTACTGTAGAATAAGGCTGGAAAGGTAGAGTAGCACAAGAGAGCGGGAAAGTCTTGGAACTCAGGCAAAGTAATTAAGAATTTTACTTGGTATGCAGTAGGGAGCCAGTGAGGATATTGGAGCAGATGAATGCCATGTAGATAGGTAAGGTAAGGAAAACTAATCTGAGAACTGTGGAAAAGGTGGATTGGCGAGGGGGAGACTGAAGGTAGGAAGACTTAGGACCATCTTAGAAGACCCTCATTTTGCAGATGAGGAAACTGAAGCACGAATAGATTAAGCAATTTGCCCAGAGTCACACAGCTAGTAAATGCCTTTCAAAGGATTTGAATCCAAGTCTTCCTGACTCAAGACCGGTGCCCTCTGCCCTCTTGCAGTGATCTAAGTGATGGTTTAGAGACTGTGCTAAGGTGGTGGCAGAAAGGAGAGAGCAGATGTGAGAAATGGATGTTATCCATAACGATAACCTGGAGGAGCGCTGAGGGAGTCAGGACACACAAGCAGGTAAGTCCCAGCCTCAGAATCTTGGCACCTCCCCTAATCACGTGATACCAGACCATTTACTACTCCACCACCCCTCCTCTCTCCCCACCCCTTCTTTCCTGCGTTGGCTGGCTTCCTGCGAAAAGGGGTTCAGCCTTGGCGCTTGCGCAGTACAGAGAGGTTCTGTGGACTGACAGCTGGGCTTGCGGGCGGTGCGAATTAGGAGAACCTGGGTGCTGCTGCTGTTGCGGCGGGGGGAACTGGAGGCAGCCTGCCGGGCCAGCCCGCCGCGGTAAGACGGGCTCGCCACCGACGCCGCAGCCCGAGGGTGGGAAATATGCTGTCCTACCCGGCTCACCCGGCCTGGAGCCAGCGCAGCGCAGTGCGGTGGGGGGCGGGAAGAGGGACCTGTCCAGCCGCGGACAGCCAAAGGATTGCGGTGGGGGGTGTCTCATGAGGGATGCATGGGGATGGGGAGCAGATTTCAGGGTTTGGGGTTAGAGTGCGGAGAGATCAGTTCGACTGTGGGGGTGAGCTCGGGCTTCGTGGGTGGCATGAGGCTTTAAAGGTCTCTGGAGGGTTGGAAGGGCATTAGGGTTCCTGGATGGATGGCGGGAGGGGGCAATGATCAGAAATGATGTGGCCCCTTAGGAGCTCTGCGCGATTAAGGAGCTCTGTGCGGTCACAAGAGGCAACCCGGAGTGTGTTGAGGGGTTGAGGGAGAAGATTGTAGGGATTTATGGGAATGGGGGGGTTCTCTGCAAAACCTAGGTCAGTTCGGGAATTAAAAATGGCAAAGGATTCTCCCCCCCCCCATGCGAGTACTGTCTAGGGAGAGGGGGTAGTTAGGAGGAGGGGGCAGGTCTTCCCGGGAGAAAGGGCAGAATGCCTGGGCAATGGGGTATCGTGGACTTGTGCCCTATGGTGCCCCGTGTTCCCACAGGGCTCGAGAAATAAGTCTGCAAAGCTCCATCCAATGCCATTGGGGTCTTTTGCTTCTTCTTTTTTTTCCTTTTCCAAGTTTTCCTTCTCCCTGCCTCCGTGCCGGGCTGCTTGGCCAGAGACCCCACCTCCTCGAGGCCCCCCCACCCCCAACTCTCTGCACTGCCTCAGTTGGGTTGAGGGCTAGCGCACTGAGTACTACATCTCCTTCCCGGGCCCCGGGACAGCTGTTAGCGTGTGCGCTAGAGCAGCTTCCAAGGCAGACAGACGCCTTTGGAAGCGGGAGCAGAGCGGCTTACTTTCTCTCTTGTTCGTCGTTTGCTTCCCGAAGTTTGCAGGATTTTAGAGGGGGAAATGGGAGCGGGGGGTGGGGGTGGCAGGAGCCAGACGAGACTTTGCTGTGTGAATCGTCGGCCTCGAGCCCCCTTTAGTTTGGTGCTCGGGGCCAAGGCTAGGTGCAGAATCCCGCCTCTTCTCTGGCCCAGGTGAAGGAGGTGTCACTGACGTGGAAGATGTCGCTGTGGTGAGTCAGTGTTCCCTGCGCAGGCCAACAGCTGTCAGGGCCACAGCTGCTTTAAATCATGCGGCGGACCTAAGCCGGTGTAACTTCCCACCAGCCAGGGCTGAAGGTTCAAGGAGTTGGAGCTATACACACTACACTCGGATTCAGCCCAATAAAGGGAAACAGTTAACAGAAATCAAAATTTCTTTTTCTTTAAAACTAAAATTCATCTCCTGTTCTGGTCTCCCTGTCCTCCGCCCGTCCCCACCTTCATTCACCTTTTGGCGGCTGCTGACAGCCTTTGAGTACATGCCTCCCCTTTGTGGATTATTAGAACTACTGTCCTGGTTTGTGTTGGTAAGACTGCCTCAGGAAAAATGTTGCTTTTGATATTTTCCATTGAAAAACCAAGTGGCTTTGATCTCTAGGATTTATTAAGTCCTTATTGTGTGCTAAGTGCAGGGAATACAAAGAAAGGAGCAAAATAAAATAAAAACAATCCGCACTATAGCATACCTGTCAAGTAGTCATGTACCTTCTGCTTGGATAAAGGAGGGAGGTCCTACTACCTTCTGAGGCAGGCAATCCACATTTGGCCTTCTTTAATTATTAGGAAGTTTATTCTGACATGAAGCCTAAATCTACCTCTATGGATTTCCATCCTTATTCCTGGTTCCACTCTTAGGGGATCAATGGAACATTGATTCTCTCCTGACAGCCCTCCAAATACTTGCAGACAGCCATCTAGAAGACCCTTCCTCATGAATAGGGTTTTATGGATTTACAGCTAAGGCAGGCTCCCAGGGAAATTCATTTTAGGGTCATCATAAAGGGGGTGGTAGAGGTTAGAGTTGGGGCAAACCACTCTGTAAACACTTGCCCCCTTATGTAATTGTACATCCTAGGGAGCCTTGAAGAGGGGGGAGGTCTTTAAAGGGCACCCTCTGAAGAGGGTGTGGAACAGTTTGATGGGGAGGCACAGGCCCTCTGTCAGGGATCTGTGTGTGGGAGGGCTAATTAGGGACTGATTGTATTATATGAGTCTTAGGTCTTTAAGAAAAATAATAATAAAAGTTCCCAGCTGGCAGAGCTCCCCTCCTCCCTGAGTCACTGGCCAACTTCCTAACCCTGGAGCGGAGCGGCCCGCCCCTAATTTCAAGGCAGCCTTCTGCTTTCCACTGCTACTGATTAGATTTGTTTGTGAGTATTTAAGAAACCCAGAAGGAAGTAGAGTTGGGAGAAGTCCATTTTGCTTAAGTGAACAGGATTTCCAAATACTTAGTCTAGGTGGCTTCTGAAGCAGTGATGCAACACAGAGCATTTTAATTCTGGCCCAACTCATCCGATAGTTTTCCTTGCCCTCCACCCTAGAGAGAAATAGGATGGTTGTGAAATTGAGGGTGCTGCCTTCTTACTTACCTTTTCCAGTTTTCATTCGAGATCAAAAGTTGTTAGAGCCAGAAGAGAGCTAGCTATCCCTTCCATTTTCTCAATGAGAAAAGGACCTCTAAAAAGAAGCAATGGCTCGGTGGTGCAGTGGATAGAGCACTGGCCCTGCAGTCAGTAGGACCTGAGTTCACATCTGCCCTCAGACATGTGACATTAGCTGTGTGACCCTGGGCACATCACTTAATGCCATTCCCTAGCAAAAAAATAAAAAAATAAAATTTAAAAAAGGTAAAAGAAAAGAAAAGAAACAATGACTTGCACAAGTTCCTACAGGTTGTAAGTGACAGGGCTGGGACATAAATCTCCATGTATTTATTTGAATGCCAAAGTCAATGGCGCTTCTATTATAACGTGCTGCCTTTGCTTAAGGAGGTTTTCTCCAAGGCACCATGAGACAGCGAAAGCTGTACTAGATTTGAAATGACCTGAGTTTGAATCCTGCCTGGGCAGAATTAACTATGTGACCTTGCAAATCACTAAACCACTCTATACCTCAGTTCTTAATTTGTAAAATAAGGTGGCTGGACTAGTTGTGCTTCTAAGGTCCTTTCACTGTCCAGATTTATGATCTTAGGAATAAAAACAAGTTGAGTTTTACACAGATGTCACAGAATATAGATGGGAGGTTGGGGCTGAGGCAGGGAGAAGGATGCACATCAACTTTAGTGACCTTGGGCAATTCAGTTAAATTTCCTGGATTTCAATTTCCTTGTGTAGAAGGAGGAGATTTCTAAGGTCCTTTCTATGTTAATTTCACATGATGTCTGTGAGGAAAACATTAGGGTCTGCTGGTTATTCATTGGAAGGTGTTTGGAGATGCCGTGTTTTGAAAGTCAAAGAAACTTAGCTGAGGTTGCATAAACGAAAGGAAGATTTATGCAACAGATAGTATAGAGTGGTGAAACTGGCTAGTAAGGGGGATTTTTTTTTTAAGGCTGTAATTCATTGTTCTAATGCAAGGAATAGCAACCATTGCAAAGAAGAATGCTAGGATCTCTCAAACCTGGCTCTGCCTTATCAAGGAAGAAAGTGGGTTTTTTGGAGGAAGGAATGAGTTAATGGTAGCCTCTTAGTGGCTTTTGGTGATGGAAGAAGTGATGGGAAAGGACCTGGAGAGGGGAGCATGGCTCCCTATAAATGTCAGTGGGGGGATGGCAGGGGTTTATAAGCCCAAATGTCATCATTGATCATAAATTGCACATTGGTTCATAACAGGTAGAGCTCTGTGTCTATAGATCCTAGAGGTTATTTAGTCTAGCCCCTTTAGAAGTGGAGATCCTGAAAGACCTTCAACTTTGGTCACATAGTGATTTAGGATTAAGATTGTAGGGTACCTAAGCTGGGTTCTATGCTATGACTTGAGGTTAATAATCACTTCTTCCCTTTGGGCCTCAGCTTAGGCCATCCTTGCAAAGGGAGAACTTCACTGGGGTTGGGAGAAGACTCACATGTGACTGTCATTCATACGTCTTTGAAATAATTGACTGCTTCTCTATATAAAATGGCATTGCTATGTGCTTTGATTTGAAGAAAGCTTAACAGCTTTGAGAAGCCAAGCTTTCCCAGGGATAAAGTTGCTTGCTGGAGGTATTTCATCCAAGTAATGGAGTTTTGATTTGTCACATTAGATGTCCCTCGCATCTAATCGGGCATGAATGTTTGTTAATTCTCTTGTTTGTTCAATCATTTCAGTCATGTCCAACTCTTTGAGACCCCACTTGAAGTTTCCTTGGCAGAAATAACTGGCATGGTTTGCCATTTCTTTCTCCAGCTCATTTTACAGATGAGAACTGAGTCAAACAGGGTTAAGGGTCACACAGTAGATAATTGTCTGAGGCTGGATTTGAACTCATGAAGATGAGTCTTCCTGATTCCAAGCCCAGCACTCTATCCAGCCACCTAGCTGCCCTGTGGGTTATAGGACAGACCCTTGACATAAAAGTGAAGCTGGCATAGCTTATCTTTGCTTCTCTTCCATATTTCCTTTTTGAGGCTTTTTGTACTCCTGGAGTTCACCATCCGTACCAGGTACCCCGGGCTTGTATCCTTTCCCCTGCCTCTCAGAGCCCTGTTGCAAATGCCTGTCACTGGTTACAAGGCGGGCAGGTTGAGAATGTAGATAGTTCATAACAATCCATTCCCCACTAAGTTAAATTATAGGTGGATAGGTAGTGTCATCTTCATATGCAAAAAGCAGCACATTTTGGGTTAATGTTTCTGGTTTTGGGGACAATTTACTTCTCAAAGGAAGAAGTGATTCAGAGGTAGAAGTGTCAGGGCAGGTACTTACGGAGCAGGATGGGAAGATCTTACATAACTCAAAGTGTTTTAATCCGCAGGGGGTTGGGGAACTGATTCATAGCATGCTCTGCTTCAGCATCCTGAAGAAATCAGGATGAGTGGTAGAGGCTAAAGGCCTGTCTAGCTCTAAAATTCCATTATTTTATGACTCATTGGAGAAGAGGGATGACTTGAAGGAGACAAATAAATAGGGAAGAAAAGAGAGAAGCAAGGCCTTTCCCTTTTTTTTAAATAAACAAATCTGCTTTAACATCGTTGATTGGTGAAGTGATGGGCATAGAGCCTAGAGGTCCATATTCCTTGGCAAAAGCTTTGCTCCAGCCAGGTGCAGTTTGAGGAAGCTCTGCTGAGCCCTGTACCACAGCCAGCCGTGACTCAGGAGAAATGACTCAACAGTGGTTAAAATGGCCAATGAGCCGGAAAAAAAATTTTATAAGAGAATAGAAAGGCTTTCAAGGGATCATTACTTGGTAGCTGAAATGAGCCCACTGAGAAGCTAATGCTGGTGCAGGGAAAATGCCAGAATAAATGAACCTCACTGATTGTTAAGCCACCAGAACAGAGACGGGGTGCCCACCCCAAGATGTAAAGCTGAAGCAAATAAAGAATATAAGACAGATGGAAGCAGTGCCCGACCTGAATTTGTATTCCTCTGGCCCAAATGAGAATAAGAATAATTGCCAGATTTCCATTTAATGCTTGTGTTTTTTGCTACCAGATCCTCTGTGAGATAGGGAGTTATAGGAAGCCAAATTAAAAAAGGAGAACAAAGGATAACTGGGGAAAAAACAAATTTCCCAAGGGGGAAGAGAATAAAATAAAAATGATAATAATATAACAAAATAATTTTGGTTTTTTATTAATTAATTTTAGTTTTCAACATTCACTTCCATTAGCTTTTGAGTTTTAAATTTAATAGCCCCAATTTTGAAAGCACTTGAAGGTTGACTCTCTTCCCCACACCCTTATGAGATAGAAAATGTAAGTATTATCCCCATTTTATAGATGAAGAAACAGAATCTAAGAATGGAAGTGACTTGTAAATGATAGAACCAAGACTGGTCCCCAATGTCATGACTCCCAGCCCAGTGCACATTTTGCTACCCCATGAGCTCAATAAATAAAACAGTGAAACAACGAGCTGGTCTCCTTGCCTCTCCTGTACCTCTCTTCCCCTTGTCCCCTCCCTCCAGCTCCAGATTACATCCAGAAGCCCTAAAGTCTAGCACCATAAGAGACTGAGGAGTTCTAGAGAAATGAGTTTTCACTATCTTCTCTAAAGATGCAGGCACACACCTTCTCTGGAGTTCATAATCTTAGAAATGCCAAGAACATTGACAACTTAAGTGACTTGCCCATGGTCCCCCAGTCAATACATTTCAGAAGTAGACCTGGAATTCAGGTCTTCCTGCCTCCAGGGCCAGCCTGTTGTGATCTAATGATGCCCTACTAAGGGACAGCAAACAGTTTGTCCTCATGATAAACAGCTCTGGTTGTTATGCAAGGAAACATTTAAATATGAAGACCCACCAGGTAGTTTGGGGAGTGGGGGATGGGGTTTGGGGAGAAGAAGGAAGAAGCTTTTTTGGTGTGAGTTATAGAGGGGACAGATGTTCTCCAGATTTCAAGTAGAGTTAGTGATTTTTAGAAAAGGGTAATTATAACATGGGGAAATACAGTATCCAGATTTAGGGTTCAACCCTCAATTTAGGATCTGGAAAGGGGCCTCAGGAAGGACACTTTGGCTGAGGGATTCCCCTTTTTTTTTTTTTTTGCAATTGGGGTTAAGCGATTTGCCCAGGGTCACACAGCTAGTAAGTGTCTGAGGCTGGATTTGAACTCAGGTCCTCCTTGACTCCAGGGCCAGTGCTCTATTCTCTGTGCCACCTAGATCAGGGGTTCTTTATCATTTTTGTGTGCTATGGACACCTTTGGCAGTCTGGTGAAGAGCCCTTCTCAGCGTGATACTTTTATCAGGATTTTTATAGGATTACAAAAGGGAACCAATTACGAAATGTAGTTTTAAAAATATTTTTAACAAAACCACACACAGGTTCATGGATCTCAGGTTCACTCCTGCTCTAATCCAACTTTTTAGGAGAAAGGCAACTGGGGGCTAGGGAGAGGTAAGGTCAGAGAGCTAGTTAGTGGATTTCTGGACAAGAATGAAAGCAAAGTGGAGTAATTTAGGGACCCTGACCCAATGTAATGCAATGTAAGCAGATTTATAAGGGAGGCACTTTGGACAGGGTTATATTCAAAGGAGACTCTCAATTGACATTCTTTCTTTGTTCTTTTTCTTAAGAATGCAGTCCAGGAATCTTCTAGGGGAAGCAGGTCAAAATTTAGATGCCCGCTACCCTCAGGCCTATTGGCCAAATGGAAATGAAGCTTTAAAAAGACACCTTCCATTTATGCTGTGTATGACTTATATGCACTTTTTTTTTTTTTGCACATTATTTCCCCCAGTAGAACGTGACCTCGTTGAATGCAGGATCTGATTTTTGCCTTTGTATCCCCTGAGCTTGGTACACAGCAAATGCTTAAATACTCCTTGTCTGACTGACAGAGCTAATTAAATTCACTATAAAAAGGTGACCACGAAGTTATTTCATTGCCAAAGAATACTAACAGTCAATCTTGGGAAGAACTGCATGATTTCAGTTCATCTTAAAGGTAGGATGGCCAGGCCATCTGGGGCATAACACAGTAGACACCATCTTGAAAACTCTGAAGCAAGGGTGAAAATCATACTGATGACTCAACGTTTTTTTCCCCAATTTTATTGTTATCTTTTGTTTTGACATCACCTTCATTTCCCCGACTATTCCTCCCCATTCAGGAAACCATCTCATATTACAAAGCAGAAAAAGGAAAGAAGAGAAAGAAGGCAGTTTGACAAAAACGAACCAACACATTGATCAAGTCCAATAGTCTACACGTCTAGAAGATCCCCATCCAAAGCCCCCTGTTCCTTCAGAGAAAGGAAGTAGGTGTATTTCTTTGAAATTTCTTCTTTGAAACCGTAGTTGATTATTATAATTACCTAGAATCCAGATGGGTGGGAGTTCAGGTGTTGTTGTTGTTGTTTTAATTTTTATAGCGGTGATGGGATGGTGGTTCTTTCTGTTTCTACTGTGGCAGGATAATTGTTTTTCTGATGAGATGAATAAGAGCCATGAAGCCAAAAAAACTAAGCGGAGACTTTTGATCTTTTGACTTCCCCAGCTTGACTTTGAGCTTCTCCAGGGTAGGCACTATTGATTAATTCAGTAAGCATTGATTAAGCACCTACTGTGTGCCAGGCACTGTGCTAGGTGCTAGGGATACAGGACAGATACCAAAAAAAAAACACCCACAGCAATCTTAACTCTCAAGACACCTAAGTGTCTTGAGATATTTATATACATAAGAACATTTGATTTGAGAATTTATATATTTGAGAATGTTTTGATTTGAGAATTTATATATATAAATACATTTGATTTGAGATAGAAAATGATGGGGAGTAAAGGAGAGAGAGAGCTGTGGCTAGATTGCTTTGGGAAAATGTGAAGAAATGAGTAAATAGTGTTGTGTTTTAGAAAGAGCATGGGGGGGCAGGTAGGTGGCGCAGTGGATAGAGCACCGGCCCTGGATTCAGGACGACCTGAGTTCAAATCTGGCCTCAGACACATAACACTAGCTGTGTGACCTTGGGCAAGTCACTTAACCCCATTGCCTAACCAAAAAAAAAAAAGGAGCACTGGGTTTGGTGTTAGAGGGCCTGGGTTTCCATCCTCCTATCTTGGCCTCAGTTAGGACATCTCTAAACAGGGGTGTTGGAGCAGATAAGCCCCAAGGTCCCTTTTAGTTTTAAATTCTATCCATGCCTTTCCACTAAGAGAATGCAGACAATGTCATATTTACCTTTGTATTTCCAGGATGCCTTGAACATAAGTCCTTAAATTCTATTGAATTTAATTCATTTAACTTCTGCTACGGAATGTTTTCATGGCTTTCTATGCTTATACGCATATGAACTTGCCTAGTCACTACAGAGGAAGGACTATTTTTTGCCTCACTCTTTACCATATACCTCATTCCAACTATATTTGGTGATGGGATTGGGGTATGTATTATATACAATGTATGTTTATATGCTGCATAAAATATTGGTTAACAGTTTCAAGAGTCAGTGTAGAGTGGTAGGTAGAGAGCTATCCTAAAAGCCAACACCATCTTGGCTGTGTGACCCTAGGCAAATAATTTAATTTCTTAGTGCCCCAGGTAACTCAAGACTATACAATATGTGGCAGAAAGGGTACTGACCCTGCATTGGTAGAGGGAATTTCCTCACCAGGAGCTTCTGACTGCAGTGAAATCACAGGTGCAGTCTCTTTCCTATCCCTAAAACAGGGTTAGAACTGAATGATTGGGTAGGGTACCATACTAGTTTGTAAATGAATGAAGCACAGGACACTTGAGCGTGAAAAGCTCTGAAATATTAGCTCAGTAAATGTAAAGCACAATAATAAACATGCAATTGTTTTGTTTTGTTTCCTTATTGATACTCTATAGCAGGGATGAAATCATCTGTGTAGAGGATTCCCACTGGGACTGCTCCCTCCTGATTCAGTGTATGCACTCACGTGCTCTGCAGTTTCTGATCTTAGAGCTGTCTGGGGTACTACAAAGTTAAAAGATTTGCCCCCCGGGTCACAGTTAATGTGTTAGAGGCTGGACTTTCCTGACTGAAATCGGCTCTTTCTACTAATTTATTTGTTATTTGGAGCCATGTGACATAATGGAAAGGGGATCAGCTTTGGAGTGAAGAAGACACAGGTTCCAGTCCTGACTCGGAGTAGCTGTGTGACAGTGGGAGCAAGTCATCAAACTCTCTGCCAGATGTTAGAAGGGGCTTCCCAGCTGGGAAGTTCCCATGCTGGCAAAATCAAAGGGAAAAAAAAGCAGAATCAAATCAAATCAAATCAAGTCAGAGCAGAGCTGGTCCAACTTTTGATCTTAGAGTACAAAGTTCTCTCTTTTGACACTTTGATGCCCATGCTTTACCCTGAGGCAGGGGTGGTGGACCTGCAGCCTTGAGGACACATGTGACCTGCACTTGAGGATGTGGAGGACCACACGTGGCTTTGAGGCTGCGCTTTCACCATTCCTGTGGCCTAAGGACATTATAATCTGCCTTCCTGTGCACTGATAACTTTCTCATCAAAAAGTCACAACCAAGGGAGGAAAAAATGGTTTTTGATTAAGATACTTGTAACAATTGACAGTCTTTAGTTTTATTGTTGCCTTTTATTAATAGAAGACAGTCTCACTTTCTAGGGTCATTTTGCAGAATTTCAATTTTATGAACTTAATGCTTAAGCAACCTCTGCTCAAAGTCTTGTGATATTTCACTGTGGCATAGAGGTGTACTGACTGACCTTGGCTACTCAGGCTGTTAATGGACTGTCTGTTCTAGTAGGTCCCGGTGGGTCATGACTGAAAGATTTCCAGTAAGATCCAGTCTTGTCTTGTTACCTGAGAACCAAGGGTGAAGAAGCTGCCCTTTAGAATATCTATAGGGCCGTGAACTTTTCAGCCAGAATAACTGAAACCAACACCCAAGACATAAAGGGGTTTCAGTTTGGAAGAAGGAGCAACACCAAAGCTGATGAAACAATGAATCCTAGAAGGATTGAAGAAAAACTAATAAAGGAATGGTTTGGAAACATCCAACTGGGTATCTTCCGTACATGTGTATTCTAGGCCTGTTGGTTTCCTGCAGCCAATATCTTTCTGGTCTTCTCTTGGATACTTCAAGACAACACTCAATTTTTTTCAATTAAAAATCTCTCTCCCAACTCCCCTCATTATAAAAGAAAAACAAACCCCTTTTAACGAATATTCATAATCAGACCACTCTTAAAGAGCTTTCCTCCCTCCTAAATAAAGAACAGACCCAACAGGGATAGGTTTTCAGTTAAAACATTTGAGGTTAAGCCAGAAAATTGGCTTCAATTTCAAGCTATAAGTTAGAGTCCCATGGGGAAAAAAGAGACACAGAGAAGGCCTTGCAAGGAGACAGTACTCAATACACTTAAAGCAAGCTTTCTAAAGCTATTTAAGTATATATATTTATTTTGGCTGCTTTTCACATAAGTATAAATAAGTCTCTGCTCACTCCATGTTCCCAGGTATTTTTAAAGAGATGGAATGTTTACTTTTAAATTCAATATGACTGTTGGAGCCCATAAGTGCAATTATGTTTTAAAATTTTCGCTTCTTTTTTTTTTATTGTGTCCTTAGATGAAATCATGAATCCATGTCAGTGTAGGCACTGGCTCCATCAGTGAAGATTTTCCACTCATCTGTCTCTGCCCTCTGATTCTGTCTGATTCTTGTCCATATGTTTCCACAAATCCTTTATTAGAGACACTAGTCAATCTATTTGAGGACTTTCTTTGGCTCTTTGTACATTCGTGGAGACTCATTGCATCCCTGGGGTGGTCAGTCTGTTAAATTTGGTCTTACTGGATGACTAGCTTATGCTGTGTGTTTACAAATATAATATGTATCTCTGTCTAACAATCTATACACACCCCTTGGACAAGTCTTACAGCAAGCCTTGATTTGGGCATCTAAGAAAGCATGTTGTTTACTTAAAGCTAGAGAGGAAGGGAAAGAATGTTTTTGGTGAAAACATTGGTGAGATACACAGTAAGGAAGAGGGGTCTAGTTAGAACAGAAGGCCCATTCTGGAGAATAGAGAGTAAGATAGTGTCATTTGGCTAGAGGCCCTTGAACATCAGGTTGAGTGGTTTGGATTTGACCCAGTAGGTGATAGGAGCCATTGTAGATCCTTGAGCAAGAAAATGAGTTCTTAAAGCATTGGGTTTTTTTGTAAATTTTTTTCATTAATTTATTTTGATTTATCAACAGTCACTTCCATAAGCTTTTGAGTTTTAAATTTTTCTCTTCCTCCCTCCCCAAGATGGTGTGCAATCTGATATAGGCTATACATATACATTCTTACTAAACATATTTTCACATTAGTCATGTTGTAAGGAAGAATTAGAACCAGTAGGAGGAACCACCAGAAAGAGGAAACAAAACAAAACAGAATAGCAAATAGAATGCTTCTGTCTGCATTGAAACTCCATATAGTTCTTTCTTTGGATGTAGATAGCATTTTCCATCATGAGACCTTTAGAAATGTCTTAGGTCCTTGCATTGCTGAGAAGGGCTAAGTCTATTAAGTTATTTATCACACAACGTGGCTGTTACTGTGTATAATGTTCTCCTTGTTCTTCTCACTTCACTCAGCATCAGTCCATATAAGTCTTTTCAGGTTTTTCTGAAGTCAGCCTGTTCATTATTTCTTATAGCACAATAGTATTCCATTACATTCAACTTGTTCAGCCATTCCCCAATTGATGGGCATCCTCTCAATTTCCAATTCTTTACCACCATAGAAGGAGCTGCTATAGATATTTTTATACATGGGTCCTTTTCCATTTTTGTATGATCTCTCTGGGATACAGCCCTAGGAGTGCTATTGCTGGGTCAAAGAGTAAAAGCATTTTTAAAAGGTTGTTCTGGCAGTGGTATAGAGGATGGATACTGTTTAAAGGATGGGACATTATTGTAATTAATACCTCAGATGCCTGGACTCAGGATCCCCTTAAGAGTCAAGCAGAACCAGGGGGTGGACATCTGCTCCTACTCCTACTACCCCTACTCCTGCCTTCCCCTTTCCATTGCTTTCCCAAGGAAAGGTAATCAAATTGACCTTTCCTTTGCCCTATGACTGCACTCAGGATTCTTGGGTTTCGGCCAGGCCGAAGACTTCCCTGAGCAGCACTCCTTCCTCTATAGTAATTCTTCATATCAGGCCCACTTCCAATGTCTTTCTCCCAGTCCTTCCATCGCGCCTTCTAGAATGTCTATTTTTAATAAAATGTGCTTTTTACTAGATCTGTGCCCTCCCACCCAAAATGACTCTGC